AAATATATATATATATTTCTATACATATATATGTATATGTATATGTATATATGTATATTATGTAGTCCAAAATAATAGACTTTCTTAGATCTATTGCATAAATCCTAGTTAGTGTTGAGAACAATGTAAACGATGACTCAATTAAAAAGTTCTTTACTCTTCCATTAAACCCCCCCCCCCCATTTCTCGAAAACAAACAGAATTTATCTTCGACGCCATCGAAAAGTCGTCAAATTAAAAATGTACACGTAGTGTTAATAATCAAAATTCAAGAATTTTTTTCAAGATTTAAATATGTTTTTTAATTCAAAACAAAGTGTCATGTTGCAGTACAATTATCGAACTTGATACATAAATTTCTTTTGTTGAGATATATATTTAATGATAACCAAGATACAGTAAATCCAATCAAAACTAATTACTGTCTTAGAAGCATGTAAACATCTGCTGAACGAACGAAAGAATATTGTTATAATAAAACTTTGATTTTCTAATTACATATCCTTATTTCCTCGAATGCACCGCTATTCTCCCATGGCTATACACGATGTGATCATAACGAACATTAACACCTTTCTAATCGCAATTGGCATCATAGATGATATCGCGCCAAGGATTGCATTCTGCAACACGTAACACGCATTAGTGCGCCTTATCTTTGATTGAAAGACATGAATACCATAATGGAGTGCAATGGAGACAATTGAAAAGCAATCGTTCCAGTAGAAACTCTAAGTCATCGAGCTGACAATGGTTATTCACATCAGTTGGCTTGATTTAATATTAGATTTTTCCTTTAATCATACCACACAAACACTTTAGTGGTTTCAAATGAGTGAACTACATATGTTGTATAATATTACACGTCATAAGTAACTACATTATTATTTGTACCAACCAACTAAACTTCGAAAAAGAATCAGGAACCAGAAAAGATTTTGACTACATTTCATATTCTACAGATGTTTCAATTTAACTGCAAAATTTACATTCATCTTAGGTATAGTACTTGCCCTGTTATAATATGAGCGAAACTATGATGGACGAAATAAAAATGGATTTTGATCTACCATAAAAGGCTAGAGAATCAAAACAAGTGTTATTATTGTATTAAGAGCATTTCTTTTTAAATTAATAAATTGAAGAAAGAAAAGACATATTCTTTATCTGTTACTACATATGTTTCGATTTGTCTGCGAAATTTTCAAAATAATATTACTTGCATTCACCCTAGATGTAATACTTGACCCAACTGTTATTGTAATACGAGTAAAATCACGGAAATAGGAATGGATTCTGATTTACCATAAAAGACCTAAAAATTGAAAAATGAAGTAATTGAAACAATTGAATAAATCGGAGATAGAAAACAAAAATTCTGTATGTATTCTTAAATTGTTTTAATACAGTTAAAACACGCCATTAATTTCGCTTACAATAACATTTATTTAATTTAAATTATGATTTTATTGTATTATTAATATAATTATATTATTATTATTATAATTATATTATGTATATATAAGTTAATATAAGTTCGTTTGTTATACGACTCGATATAACAATTCGGAGGATCGTTAATTGAATCTCGTGCAATGAATACTGATCTGATTAGTCACTATCCACGAAACAATTAATTCTCTAGTGAACATACCGAGTCGGTAAATGTTTATGTGACTCACTGTCAGAGAATCGTCCATTTGAACATTGACGCATACCTACAAGTACTTTCAGCTTTCCTTAGAGAAACATTGATCATTTCATTAACGGAACCTCGAGGAAAGACGCGATGGCAGGATACTCGCGATCGATGCGCCAACGAACGATGAGTCACGATCGTCCGATCGGATCGAACAAGAAATCGTGTTACTATGCCTCATGGCCGCCAGGGAACGCGTTCCTGAATCGAAAGAAGAGAACCAGCGTGCCGTCGCGCAACTTGATATCAAGTTGCGACCGTCGAGACGCATGGCCTTCTTAATGGGAATTACGTATAATTTCTTGTTCGCATGCAAAATCGTGCGAGATGAGTCTTTAAGAACGCCTAGTTGGAACAATAGAATTGATTTGTCGAAATTATCTGCGAATGTCTGCTAAGAAAATAATAAAATAATAAAAATGATGGCATGGAGAGCAAACTTCCAAATAATATTACAAATATAGAAAGTTGTATAATTTTAAACATATATATTATAAAGTAACACACTTTGGTTAAAAATATGTATTTTTATATAATTATATTTTACACATGTATGCTGTTGGTTAAAGTAAGCAGTTTTAGCTGGTATCTACCAACAACTCGAGATGCTTTCTTAGCATTCTATTGCCACGAATGCTAAGATTATATTGACTTCGAAAATGAGATCTCTAATATGAGATTTGAGAATCAGGTCACCTTTGCCTCGATGACAATCATTTTATTGGCACTTCGAGTTCCGAAGAAATGAAACCTAAAGAAAACCTAGTGGTGACTGAGAGTCACATCTCGAGTCCAAAGGGTTAGACAATTGGAAACCTAAACTGACGCCACTAATATTGGTATCGTCAAAGTAACATACTCATTGCGCTAATAATCTGTTTATTTTCATTCGTTATAAATGTATAGACTTGAGACTTATAAATCTATAGACTTGTATAGATTTGAGAATCAGGTCACCTTTGCCTCAACGACAACCATTTTATTGACACTTCGAGTTCCGAAGAAATTAAACCTAAGGAAAACCTAGTGGTGACTGAGAGTCACCTTTCGAGTGCACAGGGTTAATTTCTCACCCTGAGAGCACGACAAACAGTGAAATAGTAAATCTGTCATGGATACTAATATTCTGTTCTTTTTATTTCAGGGTCGTTCGCCCAGAAGCAACAGCAGGAAGACCCTTGTCAAACGAAATCTAGGGTGGTGGGTGACATAGAGTATTGCGATCGTTATTGGGAATGCGTGAGCGGACGTCCAGAGCTGTTCGATTGCCCTAATGGTCTCGTTTTCGCTGGTAAGCATCGCGGTGTAACCGAGGGTTGCGATTACCCTTGGAGAGCAAACTACTGCGATGGCAAACGCCAAGCCAATCCGCCGATACCAGCTGAACACTGCGACTGGCTGTATGGTATTTTCGGCCACGAGACATCTTGCACAAGGTACTGGACCTGCTGGAACGGCACAGCCACCGAGCAACTTTGCATCGGTGGACTTCTGTACAACGAGAGGGCCCGATCCTGCGATTGGCCAGAGAACGTCGAAGGGTGCCAGAAGCATCGTGAGTAAACGATGATTTTAATTTGATCGTTTCTGTTCGCTTTTGCACTAACAATGATGCTTGCTTTCCTTAACCCCTTCTCGTGACATTTAGCTCGACGAAACTCGGGCCGGAAACTGATGTCTATGTTTGACTCGATTATATGTTCACGAGCCTTGCTCGTAATATTCATGTTTGGGCCAAACTCTTCATCGCGAGTTGGACTCGTTAAAGCACGGGAAGTGGTTAACACTAACGCTGGTATTTTAATTTTTCAGGATATTAACGTATCAGCCTATTAATGAATTAATAACAGCTTATAACCTATTTATTTTTCAGCCTGTTTGACAACATTTTTAAATCAACTTGACAAGAGTTTCGTAATAGTTTGACATTGTAAAACGAAGTTGTGATATGATGAAACTCATATGTAACTCTTTTTAATTCGAGGCTTCATTTGGGATTTATTATATACATATTTGTAGCATTATTATTCCTCAATGGAAAACAATTAATGGATTTCATTTTCAATACTGAGCCTAAGAGTTCTTTAGAACATTCGTGTGCAGAGTGTTTTTGGTAGGTGATTCGAATTTTTGTCAGGTTGTAGGATCATTTCATCAGTAAGCGATCCAGTAAACTGTTTTCTACGTTTTACTATGTTTGGAGTGTTTTCAATTCTACGTTTTTCACAAATAATTCAAAGAATGCACGATTAATTTTAACTTATTCTAACGAATTCTCAGACTTTCTCAAAATTTCCCATAAATGTTGCACCAAATATAGTTTGAGAAAGATTGTAACTAGTTCGAATGAGGTTGTATTTGATCCTATACCTCCAAAAATAACGATTACAAACAATATGAGGTACCACAACAATAACGGAGTCTTCTAGAGCCTAACGATGTTAATTCACATACCTGGAAAGCAAATATGATACTTTCAAGTATGATAACGTCAAAAAGCTAAATTAATACTAATTTCACGTTATAATTATCCATACTACTAACACCATCTACTCAGCTTCAGGAGATTAATTTAGAAAACTTATCAAAAGACTGCAAAATTTAATATCTTGGTTCCTTTTTCACCTGTGCTTTCACGAACTTATACCTTAATTAACGCCCACTAACAATCACGCTGTGCAACGTGCTCTAGTCTTCACGGCGACTACAATAATTTTCAAAGCAACCAGCAAGTCGTTTGCAGCAGATGGATTTTACGTTCCAAAGTGTGAAAGCTTCGATACTCTTATTCGCACTTCTTTTCCTCCGTTTTTTTATTTACATCGAGAAGCTATTCCGTCTTCTCTTTGGCAAAACGTGGCGCATTATCCCTGAGGCGATGTTCGAGATCATTCTCGCTTTCGAAAGTGACCGTGTACGAGAACACGCGTGTCCCTTCTTTTTTTCACTCCCTCGTCGAGACTTTGCTCGAAGTCAGTGCCCTCCACGAGGAAAAAGAGGCGAGCCGCTAATTAACATTCTAAGCGAGTTCCCGTCGCGCCTTCGTCTCTGCCCCACGCATCGCCGACCGCTAACCAAGTAGCTTGACAACTCGAATAAAAATTCTCATTGATAGCGACAGCCCGTAAAATGATCGACTCCGTAAAAACAATGGATCGCAGACATTTCAGACGCTGACATAGGAGCGATAAAGTTCGTCTCGTTAAGTCGGCATTCGTTGAAAAAACTAAAGAATTAAAGGAAAGTGGGTTCCTTTGATTTATTCTAATTCTTAATGATCTCAGATGTTTGCAGCATTCTGAACGATGAAGCTGAATTCAAATTATTGTAATTTATTTGGTTATTCGTTGAAAAAGTCTAGTATAATTAATTTATTAAATGTAATTCTCTTGATAGAAGTATTAGATGATTGATATCGCAATCAATTCTTTAATGGAACATGTTCTTTTGAGTATTTTAATTTTTCTAATTTATTTGGTCATTCGTTGAAAAAGTTTAGAATACCTTCTTTTTTTTTAAATTGTGGTTCTCTTAATGAAAGTCTCAGATGATTGGCATTTCAATAAATTCTTCAAAAAAAGATGTCCTTTCAAACACCTTAGTTGTTCTAAAATATTTGGTTATTCATTGATAAAGTCTAGTATACTTTTTTTACTAAATATGATTGCTTCAACAGAAATATTAGATGATTGATATTGCAATTCTAATAATTAAATTAATTCTGTAAAAGAACATGTTCTTTTAAATCCTTTAAGAATGATTTGTTGCATTTGCATCGTTGCAACTTCAGTAAAAATGATACTGGTGACATTTGAAAGCAATTCTCTTCATGGCAATCAACTTTTTCCTTTGATGTCCACTACAGTAGACTTTCTCAGTGGAAATCTTAGATGCCTTAAATATTCCAATAAATTCATTCGATGATGATATATTTTTAAATACCGTAGACATCATTTATATCCGAATCATTGCACTTTTTTAAACAAGGGAACTGATAATATTTGAAGATAATTTCTATTATTTGTGCTCTTATGGCCAAATAAAGTAGGCTTCTTAGCTACTTTTGAGCAGTAGCGTACGCCATGGGTCAAAAAGAAAATTGTTCTAGACTGTATCTAATCCTCCAGTAGGTACATAATATGTCTATCGAAAACTTAAAAAAGCGAATTCTTATAGAGTCCACTGGAAACACTTTATAAGACTTCCACATGTTTTTTTATGGAGATATTTTTAATTTATTACTTATTTCAATGAATAAATTCAATAAATTAATGTATAAATAATTGGAAAATTATTAATCTTCTTAAAGCATAAAATAAAATTTCGTATAAATTACGGTACGAAATATTACATAAATATATAAGTAAAGCATACATCAAAAACGAATTTCTCTTTCAAAATCTATAATACAATTAATAAGAAATCATTTTCTTCACCGAAGTATAAAATAAAATTCATACAGCAAAAGCTTAATGTAGATTCGATCGCGCATATATTTTAACGATGTAATGAATATAAATGTAAATCGTTAGGAAATTATCTATTTCTTAACCCTACAGTGCGCATTGATGCACATGTGCATCAACCGCATTTTTCTTTGATATTTTATTAAACAAAAACTTAGGCGCTGTTCCTAATAGAAATAAGACATCTGCGCTATAAAAAGGTCACAGCCCCATGGAAGATAATTATTTGTACGCCAAATCTGACAGTTACCATCAGAATTTTTTAGGTAGAGCGTTACTCGTGTTTGCTCCGATTTGAAAAATTGCGCGCTGTAGGGTTAAAGCATAAAATAAAATTCACGTGGCGAAGGCTTAACCCTTTGCACTCGAGGCCTTTCTTTCTGGTATCTACTAGCAACTCGGGATGCTTTCTTAGTATTCTATTGCCAGGAATGTTATGTTTAATCAGGTCACCTTTACCTTGTCGACAACCATTTTATCGACACTTCGAGTTCCAAAGAAATTAAACCTAAAGAAATATTATTGTTGGCCGATTTACTGCGTCAAACCTAACGGTGACCGAGAGTCACCTCTCGAGTGCAAAGGGTTAAATGGGTAAGGATCACGGAGCTTCCGCCTAACGCCAAACATGTCGCTAACAATAGCATGGTAAAATGGTAACTTTCCAAACCAAGGTGTCCTATTACACGTAACTGAAACCCCGACAGCTCTCTGCAACGACGACGCGAACGGAAACGTTCCACTGGGCAAGTCCTGCAACCGTTACTGGCAATGTCAAGGCGGCTACCCGCGATTGCAAAGGTGTCCAGCGATGTTGGTGTTCGATAGAAGGTCGCTGAGGTGCGTGGTACCACCCACGGAGGATTGCGATGTGCCCACGACGCCGCCCAATTTCGAGGATGACCTTAACGGAGGTCGAAACGAACAGGAACCCGAGGAAGAGAACTTACCGCCAGGTGTTCCGCCGTTGCCCTCCGGCGCAGTGCCGGTTCAGCGTTCATCGCGTCCCAGGAACTAAATCGTGAACGTAGATACGAAAATCATTCGCGACGAGCGTGAGTGGAAAATTCTTTCCACGTTTCGGGATACACGGGATCGGAGCCGGGGCAGAGATGGGTAAAATTTTCTTTGATTCAATCAAAATAGTCACTTTATTCGACGAATAAAAATGGTATGCTCATTCGTCGAATGAGAAATGCATCTTCATTCGTTGAATACAAATAGTATATTTATTCGACGAATTTCTAAAAATTATATATTTATTCGTTAAATAAAAATAGTGTCTTCGTTATATAAATGAAAATGGTATACTTATTCATCGAAAAGGTATCTTCATTCGTTGAATATGAATATTGTCTTTATTCAATGAAATAAAAAAGGTATCTTCATTCGTTGAATAATAAAAATATCTTGATCCATCTTATAAATTTACTTCGAATAATGATGTTTGTCCGTTGCTCATAGAATAAATTTACTTTGAATAATTGCAGTCGTATGAAGACGTCTGTATTCGATTTTTTTATTTAAATAATTTTCTTATATTGAGACGATGTCCATCTCTGAACCTGGATCGCAATCGTAGCCAGGAAAAGCGAATACTGCGACGTCAGCCGATGAAACATGGCTCTCGTAGTTTGAAAGAGTCTCACGAGAGCACACGTAATTCTTAACCCTCGGACCGCACAATTGCAGAAACTTTAAAAAAAATATGTATATGTATATATATATATATACATATATAAAACCCGTAGGTATCTACCAAGTAATATAATTCCAATAATATCAAATATAAAATTCATAATTTTCGAATAAATTAGAAATTTCTTTGACAACGAAAGCAAAACCTATATTCTTCATACGACGTTTCTTAAATATTATAAGAACAATTAACAAGGAGAAAAGTCAGTCCTGCAATGGAGATTTTGAATAATTACAAATGACATGCCCTTTTTTTGCCCAAAATGTAACAATACATATTAAAATAAAGAAGGGAATAGTTAATATCAGTTACCTAAAATGTTAGTTGAATGTTAATTGTTAGCCTGTAAATGTCATATTAAAAATATAAATTTTCTTCTGACATTCAAAGAAATTTCTATTTCGGCTACGACAAAATAAAATTGGCTCGTGTAGCTCAAATAAATTTAACCGATATCAGATCTAGATAATATAATTTCTGCTGATTCAAAATTATTTAGAATTTCTCTACGAAACCTAGCAGTAAAATGGGTTAAAAAGAGAGATTTGTCTAGCGTGGCAAGTACTAAATAAATAAATTCTACGAGTTATTAACGAAATACGTGGTCGTCTGAGGGTTAATTTAGGTTTCATGTATATCCACCGCTTCGTTACAGGATACGTCTTAGTCGTTCCTTTCCGATTGGAAGGAACAAATATTTTTCTTCTCTTCTTTTTTTTTTTTAACTCTATTTTTGGGTCGACGATCCCGTCGATCGTTTCTCGTGCACGTATTTCTAAGTTAAATGGATACAATTAACGACCGCGTCGTAGGGAGTACGCGGTGATTATTACCCCTCTGTTGCGAAGGGATCACTTTTCAGTTGTCACCATCCGTTCTGTATCATTCTAATAGTCGAAGTGTAAATATTCTTTTACCCATTCTCACCTTACCTTCGCCTTCTCTTAAGACTTACTATCGAAACGTTCACATTTGTACGATGTAGTCTTGTTGAAATAAAGTATACGTTGTATATTTTTTTTTTTTTGTACTCGTGGCCACATTTTATTCGAATATTCGTTGTACATAACGTTTCTCTCTTACTAAGTATTTCTTTTTATTGATTTTTAAATAAACGATACCGGCTAGGCTGTATCGTTCACGTGGAAGCAGAGATAAGGTAATCTATAACAAACACGAAAATCTATCGGTTATAAAAGCGATAGCCAACGAGCTTGCATATTTCTGCTCCAACGTGAAATTTGTATAATTTAATTAAATTGAAATTTGATGTTTCAATTTCGGCGGTAGTATTCTTATAGAGTTACACAAACCACTGTTTACATTCTATACGACGATTTTGTACAATTCTATTTTACACGTTTCACAAATAAGCAGTTAGGTTACCGAGGACGACGTTCAGATTTGAGGATCCTGTGACGATTTATGGAATCTTGCTGACCTTTTTATGTTATTCATAGATTATTGGCGCTGAAAAAGAAATTACTTGTGTTATAGTCCCTTTGCAACAGGTCGAAAGAGGTGAGTCGATCGATGAAGTTTTTTAACGTACCAATGAGGCAGTTCATCGGGATCCAAACAGGCCAAGCTCACGGAATCAAAGAGTTTTCCATCGCCGCAGGTAATTAGACGTGGATAACCTTCCACGCAGGTAATCAGTCTACCGCAATCACCTGGTACCGGGAATCTGAAAGATAAAGTTACACGATACTCAAAATATCATTAGAGAAAAAAGAATTTCCGTGGTTACGGAATTCAATTGGAGTTTATTCAGTATTAACAGAGAAGAATATCCGAGCTGTTGATTCTGAAAGTAGGACAAGTCCATTTTATGTTATTGCTAGATGTTCAATGGCTTTTGTTTGAATGGGTTTAAAAATATTGGTAAATTGTAATAGAGTTATTTTATATTTTTTGTGGTCTCATTTCATGTACATTTAATATGCATTAATGCTTGCCTCACTTTCAAAGTCAACACTTTTGAAATATTACTGACTAAATGTAAACGACTAGTAACAAATTTATGCTAGTATTGAAAGGTATTAATTGCGAATCGATCAAAAACATTTTTATGTTTATTTGTAATAAGATTTAACTTAGACTAACTTTGTTTACGAAATGGGCTTGCCTCACTTCAAAAATCAACGGCTCATATTATAAATAAAACGAGAAATAATAGAGTATTGTAAATATTAATAATTTCTCTTAATATTCTACAGATAAGAAATTTACGTTTAAAATTAAAAACTGAATATTCGATCATGATCATACTTGAATGACTATTTTAAGAGCTAATAATTGAAATAATATCGTGCTCGTATAAAATAATTAATTTTATATACAATTTATCTATCAGGTTATACTAAGCTCTGTCCCGATTCAGATATGTACCACAAGTAGAATTTAATTAACCAAATGCTTAAATTTTTATATTAGCTAATCTCTTTTAAAAAATAAAAGATAATAATTGTTTTCCTTCGTTACCTTTACAGATTTTCTACATAATTAAGAAACCTGAAGAGGATCGAATATTGTCGATTGAGGAACGAAAAGTATATTTTTTTTAATACCTATTTCATTTCTTTTACCATTTCCTCACTATTTTGTGATTATATTTAACCTGCTGATGTTTATGGATTTATGGCAGATTGAAATACAAATAAATTTGTAAGGTTATCTACAAATACAAACATTCATAAAATATCGACAATAATTTACACGCTACACCGTTTGGAAGATAAAATACACTTCCATTTAAACTTTAATTCATTATAATCAAGCATAAAGTGTGTTAATTAATAATCATAAATGATGTATTCAGATATACTAAAAAAATTCATTAATATAGGTAAATAAATTTCTATTTAATAGAATAGTATAATATAGACGGGGGATGTTTATGCATTTATTGCAAAAGAATACATAAAAATCTACAGAAATGCAAAAGTATATAATTTTATCGTTACGTTATACCGTTTAGATGTTAAAACACACTTTCATTTAAGTTTTAATTCGTTTTTCATATCTGTAAAAATATGAATTTGCATAAACTAATCATAATAGAAATTTCCTTACTAAAAATGCTGTATTACAAATATGTAAAATCTCTCCCAAGATTGAAGTGGTTTCGATATTTTAAGAACCATTTATCCCAAACATTGAAAGTAACATCCTGGTTGGGTCTCGATGCGCAAGTAATACGAACGAAAAAAAGAAGACAATACATTTGTTAAACGAGCTGACGTAAAATTGAATATCTGTAGTACATGTGTTGCCTCCCAGCGGGTGTGCTGTGTTCGATGCCAAAGCTGGACCGGTTTTTAATTTAGCTGCTGGGTAAATGCGCATCTCATGATATTTAAGAGCTTCGCGTTCTTTTACTTTCTTAACAGAAACCCGAGCGGTGTTTTCTGTTACCGGGTAACTCTTTCACCGGCAATGTTGTTTACCAAGAAAGGTTCCTTAACTTTCACGAAGATCTTCCTTTACATGATAGGTACTCGAGAACTGGACGGTAAAGATGCAGCGAGGAATTTATAATTTTTTTAGCAGGAATTAATTTTTGCTTTAATATTTTTTTCGTAAATGAGGAATCAATTTTTATTTTAATATTTTCCTTGTAAATGAAGAAGAAATACTAAATATGCGTAACTTAGGTAGATAGACCAGCATTCGATAAAAGAATAATTAAAACAGTTTAATAATTATCAAATAGACAAAACTGAATTGAATAATCCTTATGGTTGATAGAGCAAAACAGAAAAATTAAATTTATTGTTAGACGTTTTAACTTATAGTACAAAGGCCCGGTGGAAAATTTCATTACGCGAAAATACAATGATTATGTTTATTGTGATGTATTTGGGTATTTGATAGAGACACGTGGAATATAAAAATGTCGGATATTTCAACGTGTAGTAGTGTAGTAGTCGAATAATAATAATTATCTCATTTTTAGCAGTTTTGTCAACATTTCTCTGAGTACTCTATTTTTTAAATCAGTTCTTTCATTTGTTAATGTATATGTTCATTAGTGTAGCCTGGTACAAATATTTGGAAACTCACCAACGAAGACAAAATTCGTTTATTAACAAGACGTTACAATGTTTGTAACAGGCTATCAATTGCTTTTCAAATTAAAAAAACATTAAACCAAAATTCAGAAACTCTGGCAGATGGTTCAAAACATTATTTAAATTACATCAAAATTTGTACTATCAAACAATAAGCCGGGTCTCATTTATTGATAGGTAAATTAAAAAATTTTCGTAATCCTATTTAAATATGTAAGTAAAATAAATTTTAAATTTACCCATCAATATCATCATTGTTCAATATCAAACATTGTTAATTTACTTATCGATATTACCACTAAATCTTAAATTTAAATTAATTTATGAATTTAAACAAATTTCTTTCTTCACCCTACCAAACATCAATGAGAGTCAACTCCACATGCTGAACGTGTCCACCAAAAACTTACAAACCGTTACGGGGGCGGGAGCTGGAAACGTTAAACAAGAAATTATTTATCGATAATACGTACCTAGGGAACGGCCAGAATTTAGCAGCGGCGCTGTGGGATGGTACTTTGTGAGGACACTTGAATCCAACAATTTCCTCCGGATTACAGTAGGGCAACAGTTGATCTGGCCAGACGCACGTGTGGCTCTTCGCTTCGTACACTAATCCAGGGTCGCAATGCGCTTCTTCTGGGTGTCCGTGAATGCACCTGATGTACGTGGTGCTGCACGCATCGCTGGCAGGGTACAAGCCGAATTGGTGTTCGCAACCTGGTGTGCTAAGTGGTGTGACTGAAAATAATGTCACATGCTGTTTTATATCGTACACCAAGCCCGATCGCACACGGACGCAACCGATCAGTTTCAAACCACTCTGAAAGTAGTTGCATGCGACCGTGGATCTAGGTAAAACAAAGATAGTGGAGTGGGTAAAACAAAGACCGCAAACGGTTTGCAACACTAATTTCAAATCGGTTGCGCCGTATGCGATCAGCCTAAAGTATTAAATACTGCAAAATATCGCTAAGTTTATAACTAGACTGAGGATTTTATGCATTTTATGCCGTAAACTAATCTAGCAAACATACCAAAACTATAATGTATATAGGATATAGTCTATTAAATAATGCAATAATAATAATAATATTTCGTCTCGAAACTACACTAGGATGTCATATATTAAGCGTCTTTCATGATTTTTTTTCTTACAGGGAAAAGTTTACTAAATTTTTGTTAACTTTGAGAATATTTTATGTATGTTTTAAAGTACATTTGATCATTTTTTCATTTAACTTTACACAAAAATCTTTGACATATCAGTTATTCCTTATAGGAAGTTTTCGTCCAAATCTGGTATTGGTGGGAATTACAATTGTCACAATCGTTATCTATAATCGATACAATTTTGTTCTCACATTGTTAACATGTTTCCTCAGGATATGAACTAAACTGTGGACGAAAAAGTTGAAAATTAAGTTTTTTAGAAATTTCTTTATAATATTTCGTCACAAATACAATTCGTAAAAGATACAATTGTAGAGTACATATTTGCTCTTTAGTTATTGTACTAAATGAAATTTATCGAAAAACATTAAATTCGGTTAGCGAAAGTGTATTTAACGTGACGATTAGATAAAATGAATGTAATCGAAGGAAATTGCGAATAGCGAATGAAGAAGTTGCGGAGACTTTAATGCGAGATCTAAAGGGGAAGGTTAAACAAAGAGAAAGTAGGAAGGAATCGAAACTATAAGCATAAGATAAATAAGAAAGGTAAATCAAAGATTGTAATATTAAATTAAAAAACAAGACGTGAAGATTTTCACATTCTGTACATTTCTTTTTATATTTAATTCGAGGTAATAATATTAAAATGAAATAATAACATTCATTACTGTCATGATAAAAACTTCACCGAGGGAGTAATTGAATTTACATTGATGTCAAAGACATATTGCGAAACGGAATTATGTAATGCAATCGAATATAATTTGTACGGTGCCCTGTCTTCGTGATGAATCGTCTCTACGTGACGCATTGAAGCCTTGTTACCAAAATCCTTCAGTCATGCAACTTTTACTTTCTTGCGCAGATGCTACGTTTAAGTGTAAGTTTCCTTTCGAAGAAATCGAAAAACCTTATTCTTGTTTTAAATCGGGAGTAAACAGTTGGAAACATTAGACTTATTAAGACCCTTGTTAACTTAATAATTAACTTATCAACTATCGTTTCGATCTATTAATCTCACGTCTTCTTCACAATAATTAAATCTGCGACAAAACTTTATTATAATAATAATAATAGCAATAATACACAACAACTTAAAATTTGCAAGCAAAAGAAGACTATATGATAGACAAGGAAACATTGAATATTAATTGAACAAATATTTACATTAATTACGTCTCAAGAAATTTGTATTTGTACCATATCCACAAACTGTACGATTAATTATTCAATTTCAATTCGAGACGTGTTCATGGTAACTGAAAGGAGTAATTTTAATCCGAATCTGGATTTGACATAATGTCGTTATTTATATACATAGTATATAAATTATATACAATTATTTCATGCATTAATCAATTTAGCATTATCGGAAATATTATTGGATTCGATTAAAAAAGCGTTTTTAAGACCGTTCGTTTGAATGATCGTGATAATAAACAGGTATAAATGAAATGTCGTTAGGTTTAATGTTGGTTACATCTTGCAAATTAATCAACGAGAAATGATAAGCCTTCGCTAGTGTCTCATATAATCAGATTTGTTATGACATTGACGCGATTATTGAGAACGTAACGCGATACTTACGGTCAGCCTTGCGATCTCCGCAGTGCACGGCCCAGTGATAGTTGCAATGATTGTGCACGGATCCATGGCCATCGAAAAGCAGTCCGTTCTCGCAGTATTCGAGGGTCAGGGTGCCGTTTGTGCATAGGAAGAAGGCGTTGCAAGTCTCGGGATGTGGGTACGCCTGAACGCCATATTGATCGGGGCACGGAGGTGCACCCAAGAGAGCAGCTGCATCGGCTGCAAAAATGAAAGTTAATTATTAATAAATAGAATGAATAACTATAGTATTCCAAATAGATATTTATATTCTGGAGGATGATCAGATACACACTCTGTCCCATAACTAATCGGAATCGTTAAAAAAAGTCATTTGATGCACTTTTTTAATGTGCAAATCGTTGTATTACAGCTGGGGCAGAATATTTTGAATAAACGAAATGATTATGTCAAGATTTTCTAACTAGTTATGTTATTTCTAAAGCCATTCCGGTTAGTTATGGGACAGAGGGTGTAGATAGCTTCTAATCCAATCTAATGGGATCACACTATACCGAAAGAAGCCAACATAGACATCAAAATATTCTGAAATATTAAATTGATTTAATTAATTCATAATGTTTCTTATAAAACGAAACTCAAACAAAACGATGTCTAATTTTATAATACATAGGATTATCTAGTTATCTAGAATATAAAATTGATGTGTTTAATTCATAATGTTTCTTATGAAATGAAACTCGAAACGAAGATTAATTTTAACGTTATTTTGATATCCTAATATTATACTAGTCCTTATCTGCTACAGTTTGAATTTTGAACAGCGCCCTCAGGGGCTGTAACCACGTTTGAATGCAGCTACAGTACGGGCTTAGCGACCCCGGGGTACCATAGCTAGATGGGGGCCAAAAGACGTGTACCAAAGACAAGACTAACGTAAATGTAATGTACAGAGTTACGGTAACGCGAACTAAGTCAAAATTAAGGAGTTATGTAAGGCAGAGTAATGCCAAGAAGAACAGAAATAATTGCATTGTGATGTATGGATTCAGTGAAATAACTGAAGTGATAGTTATGTACATAAAAAAAACCAAGCAGTTTGAATAGCAAATAGACGATTTAGCGTAAATCGAGTCGAGATTGGATCCGCATGAAAGACCACCAGGCGCAATAGGAAAACCAAAAATTAGTTGACGATGTACGTGCATCGTTGAGTGGAAAGTTGTCGCTTCTTTGCGAGGAGAAATATTCACGAAAGTAAGATTACAAGAAGACCTTTAATACCGGTAGCAGTCACAATAGAAAGGAACCAGTATGAGGCTGAAAGAAGCAGATCTAGTAGGAAGAGAAACTTACACGCTTCAGCAACGTCGACTATAAAGTCACCAAACGTTCGTCGACGTCTTTGAAAGATAAACCAATAAAACAGCCTGCAACGTGTACAAAATGCCACTTACAGTCTTTATGACAGCTTCTATATTATTTTATTTCTACAATAATGATTTCACATTACATTCAACCAAAGAGTTATTTTATCGTTCAATTGAAATATTTGAAGTAAAACTACAATATAAAACGAAGTTATCAGGATATAATATAAACAGCATTTTTTATGAAGGAAAGAATAAGAATTCAGCAATAAAGAATTATTTTAAACAAAGAAAATTCATTAAGGAAAATAATAAGGAAATTAAGGGCACAAATAATAAAACGTAAATACAAATTTATACAAACATTACATACAAAATTTACATTTATATTTCTTCAAACCATCAAATGTAAAAATTGCCAGTTATTCAAAACATCATTGTTTCAATAGCAATGAGAGCTGGACTGTTCAGTTGTTCACATGTCATTGTGGATATGTATGCTAGTAATTGATTTTAAATCATTAAAAGTGTTGATTAAAAAAAGAAGATTTTTCTGTTTCGAATAAACGGTACCAATGATAAGTTAATGTGTGACCCTTCAACTAATACTTTATATGTATATACTATATTTTGAATAGTTATTGAACAAATGTTACTCAAGTATTTTTCATTGTTTAGTAGTAAGTCTCGAAGAATCAAATGTTTCATTCTGGCAAAACTCCTCCCCAATCAACAACATTCACTACATACATGAAGATATTAAAAGTTTGTAGTGTTTCGTACTAGTGCTTGAATTCGTCAATTGGTCAAATTGTCAAATAGTCAAATTGTCTCGAATCAATCTTTAAAAGTCTTCCAGCTACCAAAGGCCTCCATAACTACTAGAGTTCATCCTTTAATCCAGCCCTGATCACAAAGAACACAATTTAAATAGTACATCGAACAACGCAACATAGTTGAAAGATATACGATTCCCAGGAACAAAGTCATAAAATATCCACGACGTTCAATAGATCCTAGCAGATTCTAGGCAAGAAGAGAAACACCTGCGATCATAAATAACCACCACTCGCGGCTAATTGAATTCAAGAATCTCACACTCTCGGGAATCCTCTTCTCGCGGCGCAAAAAGAAACAAATAAACGAGTAACGTTGGAAGACGACACGTGCAGTGGTGCTTTATACTATAAACAATAAAACTCGTCTGCCTAAGACCCCAATTGCTGCTATTTTACATAAAATATAAAGAATAATTTAATTAAATTTTCAATTTATTACGTAACAACGTTACAATTACCGAATGGATTAATAAATGATTTTTCGAGATAGGATCGACGCCATTTTTAATTTACGAAGCAATTCAAGGGGGATTGGTATCAGCTTTCTGTAACGTGGTAATAATTGTAAAAATTTTCCTACAAATTTCTATTACAAATTCAACGGTAAATTCTCTGTGCTGAAAAAAGTTATAACATTCCATACTGTTTACTAAAATATAGGGTCCTACGAAATATTACAAGCTTCATGATTAATGTTTTAATAAAAATCATAGTTTCATTTGTTGCGGTTCCAATGGAATAACGCTAGAATAAATGCATTATTTGGACTCTAACTCTGCCATTGAGTCTTCTTCGAAGAATGACAAAATCTTTAATTGAAAAAGTTATAAAGGAATGATTGCAAAGTAATTATAATATAGTATAAGCGTATCAATTATTTTACCAATATATAAAATGTTAGATACTTATGTAGACTATATATCTCAAAAAAATTATTATTCATATGATTATTCATCGTATCTGAAATAATTGGTCGATAATTTGATAAATTATTTATACATGATTTATTGACTTTTTCGCGCAGTGGATCACTTTTTGTAATCCAGCAAGTCATCGAAAGACTTACTTATAAAAGTCAACACCGACACATTTCATTGGAACCAAATATGTAAATCTATACTAGCACATAATAATTTACCTAACATTGATATTCAATTCATTCCGGAATCAACTTACAATATTGCATAAATATATATACTACCGATACGTTACATATTGAATAAAAATGTACTAAAACCACTAAGGTACAAATCGACAAAACCTTCCTCCGACTAATATTTACAAACGTTGTTCTGTAACAGAGATTCGTCGCGGCAAAGAACAAGGATCGAGAATCGCTGACACTAGAGCGACGAAAACAGAGACAACACGAGAGGAAGAGGAACCGAGTCATAAGTGAAAAGTCACAAGTTAAGAAGAGAGACGGGCAGACCTGTCCCCAAGGTGCATGAATAATGCACCAGCGGTTAGATCGTGAGCCTCGATACGCCCGATGCATTTCTGAATAATAGTCGAGGAAGGCGTAAACGCTGGACAAACTCCGCCATTATATCATAGGTCGCCGCGACGTAACCATATGGCGCGAGGAGTCTCTCGGTTACAGTGAAAGCTATTGAAATTCTTATACGTGGGTGTCGCAACGGAGGGGTACAGGTACCCCTGGATTCGAGCAGATGCACGCCTGACGGGATGCAGCCCGGAGAACGTGCGATGCGCCTACGAGATGCACGTCGTCGGTTGCCCCTCGCATCCGGCAGCGTTCAGCGGCCGTTGGGGGCGCATCGTAGTTTGTCACGCGAGGAAACGCGATCGGTGTCGGAAGGTGGAGGGTGTCGGTGGTGGCGATTGGCGCGAAAAAATAACTTACCGGAGACCAGAAAAGCCGCCAGGGCCAATAGGGTCACGCTCCTCGGATGGCTCATAGTAACACGTTCGGGTCTGATCCGCCACGGGTCGACTCTGACTACTGACACTCAGTTATCGACCTCGGGACACAGAGCTTCTCCCTTCACTTGCTCGACGCGCTCGATCTCTCGTTACCCCACCAAATCGTCGACGCGATTTCTTACAGCGATCGTGAGGCCTCGGTTTAACCGCGAACACGCCCGAACGATTCGTCGGTCCCTAGTTCTTTTCATACCCAGCACAGATACAAATTTTCAGAAAATACGTAACGCATTGCACGCGGGACCCGTAATTTCACGTATTTTACGGTCTGTCACTCGAGGGTGGAATTGCTATTTTCCAAGTCAAAAAATTGGTTCTTCTCTTTGTTGATAAATCTTATAGTACAACTCTTGAAGCATAATTGTGTAAAATTTCAAGTAAAAATTCGCAAACACACTCGAACGATTCGTCGTCGTCGGACCCTTGTTCTTTTCGTACCCAGCACAGATACAAATTTTCAGAAAATACGTAACGCATTGCACGCGGGACAGTTTCTTTTACTTTATGATTTAAAAGTCGTCCAAATGGTGGCCTTCACGGGCGATACATATTTGGACACCATCTGCAAAATTTCGCGTCTAACGACGCCCTGTATGGACCGTAGCTCGGCGGATTTAAGTCCATGTAACTTTTTTCTATGGGGATACCTCAAGGCCGAGGTTTTCAAACATCGTCCTTGGTCCTTGAATGAAAGGAGGCCATCCAAGAGGAAATTGAAAGAATTTCCCCCGTAAATGCTAGCGAGAGTGATGGAAAACTTTCAAGAACGACTCCAAATCTGTATTGCCTGTAAAGGCCACCATTTAGACGGCGTAATTTTTAAAACATAAAGTAAAAAAAACTTTTTTATATCTAGATTTAAGAAATAAAAAGTTTCTGGTAATATCTCGTACCACTTTTTTTCAATCGTTTTTTTAAAATGTGGGAATTATTTCTGCCGCACTCTGTAGTACAACTCTTGAAGCATAATTGTGTAAAATTTCAAGTAAAAATTCGCGAAATTGTCGGAGTTATAGAGCTCGGAGTATCGGTCTGTTGTTGAGTAGTCTGGGTGGAGTGAACGGTCATACGATATCATTTGTATGGACGTCTCTTCGTAACATTTGAAAGCTGAATCATCAAGCTTCGAAATAATAATTTAATCATTCTACGATTACGTTTCACGGAATTACGCAACTTTGATATTTACTCTTTAGATCAGGAATACTAACTTCATAAAGGAGCTGCAGTAGCCTTCCGTAAGTAAGAGAACTGTTACCAGGTTCGTGCCTTCGAAATAAACATCGGGAAATGTTGTAATAATAATTTCATATTAATTTCATTAAGCTTCTTTATATTAAAATAGTATGGAACTACAATTACATACATGTGTATTCATTCATATTATAAGTCCTGAAATATGAATGCCTTAGGAAGTATATGCGTAGCCTGACCTTTGTCGACGATGAACGGACCATAAACTGACGATGATTTCCAGAGGTATTAAGTCTCTTCCCATGGAGAAATCGAATAACCGAACGAACTTTACAACTGACGGGATTGTTTATCGTCACGCTTATTTTACATCACTCACACTCGTCATAATACAATGGGATAGTAACGACCTACGCATACACAATCTTGCCCCACGGAATTGTTTAATAGCGATGGCTGAGACCGACCCTTACTTTGCGAATACGCGTCGTATCTGCAAATCGTAAAATATTTGAAAAGTTAAACTTCAGGATATCGTAGTCAATACACCTCAACAAATTAATTTATTCTTTATACATTCATTCTTCTACTCTTCGAGTATCTGTAACTTCGAAATTATGGATAGGCAACCCTTAATTATGGGGTGAGTATGCACAGGAGGTCTCTTTTCTGTTGCACTGTAGATAAGTACTCTAAATTCTTATAATATTATATTATTATATTATAATATAATTAATATATATGTATAATATTACGTATAAATTAATATATAATATATTAGCATATTATTATAGGAATGATTTACCTCGATTAACCCTTAAAATTCTTTTTCCCACATATTTTCATTATAATATTAATCAGTGGTTTTTAAGCATAAATAAAATGTAAAATTTTTAAGCATAAATAGTATATCTAAATTGATACAAGAAAAATATATCCACTATTGTTAAACTTCAATAATCAATCTATTAATAGAATCTTCAATTAACCCACATTTGTATATATTGCAAACTTTCTTTCGCACACGCCCCGTACTAAAAAGTAAAACTCGCTGCATTTCAACGGCCGCGTTTCCTTCAGGTTTACGTTTATTTTTTAATCGACCGACAAGCGTGCAACGCGAGAAGAACCAATCCTCCTTTTACTTTCGTGACATTTTGAAATATAAACAAAATTTACGATTCTCCAGCGCTTCTGGAGTCAAATTACATAATGAGACGGAAAAAAAATGTGTTTCCCGTCGCTGATCGTGGTAATCACTTAATCGATGCAACATGTTAAGCATCGCGAGAATGAGATTCGCGATTATGGTTGTCGAGACCACGCAGAACCGGTAAGCGATGTTTTATAATACGGGCAATGATTTCCTCCTCGTTAACATTCTCGCACACCTTTAGTATTTATAGACAAGCAGATGCACCGGGTCTTTAGGCTGCAATTATTTAGATAGTCATCGCTTATGTAACTATATAGAAAATCCGTCGACTAATCACAATTGCAATGAATATGCAAATGAACCATAAGTTTCACACTTTTTTAAATTTCTTAACACCTTGTGAGTCAGCAGGCAAAAATTATGTTCTGTGGCCTTTGATAGTATCGATTGTAATGATAACTCCTGAAATTCTGAGAAAATGTAGAGAAGATTAAATATTTAATGAAGATAAGATAAAGATAATTAATTAATTAATGTCAAATTACATGAAGTCCTAAAAAATGCTTCGGTGTATGAAATTAACTTACGTTCTTCCAATTTCGATGCATTTTCTATCGTACTCTAATCATATTCTAATTTACTAACTTCATTCCGTTTCAAAAATTTAGGGGACTTTCACTTCTGTCCGACAACGTTAGGACCTTTTTTAGAGACTCGATGTACAGTTCATCGTGAAGCATTTAGATTATATTTTCTTGCTTTTATATTGCAAGATTTCATCGAGATGCTCGCAGCTTTTATAATTTTTCGTTTGGGAAGAGGATTCAGTTTTTTGTTTGGGCCGCCACTTTTTCCATAGTTAGCTGGATTACTTAAAAAGTTTATTACAACATTGTGAGCTTCCTAATCTAAGTCCGATTCCTCGAATGCTAACAATTTCCACCCGATAGGCTATAATTACGCTTTTCTCTTCGGCACTAACGGAAATGTACCACGTTCCAATTTTGTAATCTATAATACAATGTTTAGGTTTATTAAAAAAAAGAATTAGAGAGTTTATCCACATGTGTCGCAACTCTAAAGCAAATTGAACTCGCTTATTTATATTGGTGCTATAGTTGTGCAACAATTGAAAATCACTATTTTAATTGTTTCATGTCGCATATAAGAGCAACTCCGAAGAGACTAACACGCTGATTGCCAGACTGATTCACATGGAAAGGTATGCAGGCCTAAAATTTTGTCTCGAGACAATTAGACATTATAGAACCTAATATTTGTTAAGTTACTTATTTTTACACTCTCATCAAAATTTACGGATTCTCTCCAGATTTGTTTTCATCGACACCTAGCCCTTAAAAGTAATTACACTAGTTTACAGCCAAAATGTACATTCAATGCCACAATTTTTTTCTTATGTATTTTGGCCTACTAAACTCGAAAATCGCAAGAAAAACTTTTTCTATAGATAGGTTTTTTATATGAATTTTTGAATTTTTTTCCGATTTTTTCTGACATACGTTTACATTTTAGACGATATCTCGAGTTAGAAACGTCCGATTGAGTCACGCAAGACGCCATTTTAAAGGTAATCGAATTTTCAACAATTCATTTGACATTATTTCCAATCGGTTCAATAGTTTAAGTGTTACGGGCCAATATATATGAGAAACTTTGATTTTTTTCGGCTAATAGAACACGAATATTTCTTCCATCGCCAGGGAAAAATAGAAATTGTCAAATTATGTCCAGTTTCGTATTGTTTTCGTATAGATCGCATTTTTACGTAGAAAACAAGCTTTTGTTAAAGAAAATCTATGGATAAATATCGGAGTTAGGAACAATTGAGTAAAGGTACAAAAATCCAAATTTTACTCCGTTTTTGTATTTAAATTGTATGTATATAAGATTTTTGCCTATAATACTTAAACTACTAAACCAATTGAAAAACAATGTGAAAAGTAATTGTTGAAGATCCGATTACCTTTAATATGATATCTTGCGCGACTTAATCGGACGTTTCTAACTCGAGATATGGCGTAAAATGTGAACGTATGTCAGAAAAAAACCGAAAAAGAATTCAAAAATTTATATAAAAAAAATCTATCCATAGAAAAAATTTTTCTTGCGATTTTCGAGTTTAGTAGACCAAAATATATAAGAAAAAAGTTGTGGCATTGAATGTACATTTTTATTTTATTTTATTTTGTAAACTAGTGTTATTAAAGTTCCTTAGTGAAAAGCTCTGTCACCCGTATATGGGTGACGTGGCGTTCAACGTGTTAATATAAAACTCATTAGTTATCATATTCTTCCATCTCACATAATCGACCATTTTTCGTTCCTACTCAAAAGTCTGAGACATTTAAAAATATAGGTTGCGCTTTAGTTATGCTCCGCAGCGTATATGCGTAGGTGTCCAAGAATAAAGGCTTCATTAGCCCGTTGATATATCCGCCCCTGAGTACGATTACCCCTGTGAGACCATAACTGAGCTTACGCAACACCCATTGCTACTTCGATCCCGAACGGAGAACCAGATCTCCCAGCATGGACAGTGAAAGCCAACGAATACCAATCCACGATCACGGTACTCGCGATTCAGCATTGTCGGTGAACCGGTCAGATGAACGAAATAAATACGTCACGGTCATGTCTGTGGCCTGTGGCTAATTGAGCTCCCGATCCTTCGTCTTCTTCGTAAAACTCAAATTAGAAAGGAGTCTCGATGGCCAATTCCCTCCTGAGGCGTACGAGTTCTGACAGAAAAATAACGAGACCGGTGCTGTAACCTATTTCGTATACATAATTGAAGAAAATCATCTGCTATCACCCTCGGCATTATCTCCTACGTTCACGTAAGACTGCGTATACAGTACTGTGCAAAAGTCAGGTCACTTACCGTACGTTATATCATTTACATTTTTAAAGAAAGAATTCCTTCGATTCGGCTTATGTATTTTATTTTACCATGATTATTGTACAGTTTACTGTCTGAAATTAGATAAAAATAGTATAAATTCAAAGGAGAATTCAATATTCGGTACTACTTTTACTTTTACGATGGCGTCGACTCTTTTCAATCAATTTTTATATAATTCTTTAATTATTTCAGTCGGAATATTTTACCATTCGGTTCGTAGTACTTGAGACAGTTCATCTGCATTTTTTGGACCTCTTTTTCTTCCAGATCTGTCCAAATAATCCCAGACGTGTTCGATAATATTTAAATCAGTACTTTCAGATGACCAACTTATCAATTTTAATATTTCATTCTCCTCTAAATGCATTAAATAATTCGTTTCAATTCTATTATATGTACGTGTAGTATACTAGAATATATAAAGCGCAATAAAAAATATACATTAATATTTATTTCATTCAAGAGTTGGCTCTCTTAAATGTAACTGGTATTCAATCTACTCGCACAACAAGATAAACGCAAAGTTGTACTTGTCAAAAGTCAGAATACAAAGTCTTGTCAATTTTTCACGATGTTTCCAATAAGTATTTGGAATTAAAGGGAACCTTTCACAATTTTTCAATTAGCGAGGCAGGCTCGATCGCGATGTAAATAGTCAGACAGGGTCGCGAGAGTGCAGTTCATCGTGCACATCGTAAATTGCGTAAAGTGAAAGGTTGCAATCAGGCGAATCAAGTGAAATTGTCTGCCAACCCGAAGAACCATTCCACGCCGCTTATTGTATTCAAACAAGATCAATTTTCAGAGATTTACATCGGAGAATGACAATTGTCCTCTAGCCACCTACTTTCTTTGCAAGCGAGCAGTAGAAAGTCTCTTGTAAATGAATACAAAATATTTGTTCTTTTATCAATTGGACAGAAGGAGAAGAAGTATACTAGAACTTGCAAAGAAATATCAATTTTCGAATTTTGTAAAGAGAAAGTGCACCTAATTTCGACACTATCACAACCATCGACTCTTTCAATCTACTTCATTAATATCATTGCTACCAATTTAGAAAAGTATCTTCTTTCTTTATTTATGTAAAAGATATCTTTAATTTTATTCACTACATCATACATTTCTATCAATTGTATTGATATTGATAAAACATTTTTTCTTGAATTTCACGAATAAATTAAAAAAAAAATTGATAAAATATTTTTTATTAAATATCATGGCACTTGTACATTGATACGGTGGCAATTAGGACATTGGTTTCTTTTTTTGAAAAAAATATAAAAGGTATTGGTCTGATCTTACTAACAATTTTATATTCATTAACATCGAGCAATTTTTGAATCCATTAATGTTTTTACCTAAAATAGATACATTTCGACGTAACAAATAGTTTAATTACCCTTGACTAGTTAATCAAATTATATTTGATGTAGTATTTCGTTTTCTTTTCGAGCTTGTCTTTAATATAAAATAAATAAATAAATAGAAATAATTATAAAATAATTCGAAATATTTTGAAAATAGTGTGAAAAATAGTTTTTGAAAAACGTTGTGATATCAATGAATATAAATACTTCTTGCAAAATCAATATCCCTTCCGTTTTCTTCTGGTATAGCATTTGAAAATTTAAAATCCAAAATGCTGTATTATTTCTCTAAAGAAAACGAAATATAGCGTTTGCATTCCATAAAATGACCTGTATTTTCAATCTGTTGTATAATGGCGAACATAAACTAATTTCCAGAATGTTCTGCTACCATTGCAAGTAACGATTGTTCAAAATTGTGTCGGCAATTGGTACATTTACCTCGCGAAGTTGTAATATTACTTTCACGATCGAGTTCATCGACGCGTTTAGGAAGAAAATTCCGCAGCCAATTTTCCATATTTCCTTTTGCTACCGCCTGTAAGTTTCTTCCCGGTATGTTAAGTCGCGGTCACCGATTCGCATTTCTTCCTTTTTTTTTTTCTTTCCCAGCGATCGTAGCCATGCCGCAACAAAGTTATCGACGCCATAAATCCATACCGTAATCCGATTACATAAGGAGAAAGGTGTAATTGTCGTGGGAGGTGTATGCAAATGCCAATTCATTTACGTAAGTGTATCGCGGGTTTATTGTTCCTAAGTGTAAAAAAAAAAATTAATTAAGCGTTACAGACGTATCGCTGAGTAACTGGCACCTTGGCTTTGTTCAGTTCTTGTTCTTGTAGTAGTCCTCGCTGCAACAGGAAGAAAAGAAACAGAGGGATAAGCGTTGTTCCTGAAATTTGCATATCCAGAACATGATTCGTAACAAAACTAAATCGAATATACTGATAATCGATGTGAGTATTATTAATATCTTATCAGCCCACTGAATTGACGTTTTGATTCTGATTGAAACACGTACTGCTATCACAATTTTTGCGGGCAAGAATTTAAAAAAAAATATTTTTCAATTCAACATGTATATATATATTTTTTTTTTTTACGTTTCTGTACATTCAAATTGCCATGTTCTTTGAGTCTTCGACTAGCGATGACTGATTTCGATCAGGATACTTAGCTTGGTACAAGATCTTAGCTCGTATAGCATTTTCTTCACACGCACCATAAACAATTATCATAACGTTGTTTCACTGTTACCGATCATCGTAATAAAAATGTAGCACCTTTCTCAATACGACTTTAACGCTTACCAAGATACTAAATAGGTATTTCGTGTTGATGATTATTAATATTTAACAGGGAACTTGTTTACAGACATGACCTACCGATGTGAACAAAGTCGTGCTAAGAATCACGTTGACTAAGCGTATTTCCTAATAGAAGATTATTAATTTGAAGACATCTCAGTAATTATTCATTTGAAGTCCCACTTCATGTAATACTTTTTTATGCAAAATTTGATGATTTATCCGAATTCGAAAAAAAATATTAGATATTCCATTTAAAAAACTGAAGGTGACCCTAATATCTCAATAAAAAAGTAAGGTAATAAAAAACAGATTACATCATTGTATGTCCCCCTAGATACTATGCAATCTTTGTTTGAAACATTTTTTCGTACAACGAATACCTTACGAGTTATTTGAGGTCGTCACGTTATAAGACTCACTCTTAGTGACGTAGTTGTAACGTGTAATATATATTTTAATTTTATTCTATCTTAATATCGTACTTCTTAAAAATATTACTCATATATGCAGGATGTTCCAGAATTAGTGTAAGAACCGGAAATGAGGGGTAGCTGAGACGATTTTAAATCACAATTTCCTTTGCAAAAATCTCGGATGGTGCTTCGGTCGATGGTTTTTCATTAATAATTTAAAACCGAAGCACCATCCGAGATTCTTACAAAGGACATTATGGTTCCGAATCGTCTCAGCTACCCCCCATTTCTGGTTCTTACACTAATTCTGGGACACTCTGTATATAATAGAATAAAATAATATATAATACAATAAGACAATTCTATATTCGGTAAAAAATATAAATATAGAGTAAGATAGACATTCGAACAATGTACCAAGTCCATTTTACACCCAAAACCCACTAATGCCCAATAAACTAGTAATACTAACCATAAGCTGAAATCTAGATCTGCTTCTGGACCGTCCAATCATTATTTACTTTACTAAACACGATCAAAATTAAAAATTATATTTCTAAATTCCTATACACACAAGAGTTGTAATAGTTATATGTGATTCAATTAAAATCGAAATACGAATTCAATCGGCTAAAAACGTATTAACGATGCTTGCATCAACAATATATTTAATTTAATTTATAGTATTCATCACATTCAATTCTCTACTATTGTATGAGAATCCATTTTTACTATCGCGTTTCAACTAAACAGTAGTAGCTTATTGGTAATTCGTGACTTTTGGGAAGAGTTCATATCAAAGATTCTGTAATTAAAATTACTGAAGCTCACCATCCAGGGACATTCTCCGGATCCATACATTTGAAGCTCTCCTCGCTGTAGACGGTGCCATACTCGCATTGTCCTTTCTGCGGCATCACGCCGTTTCTGCAGATGTAGAATTTGGCGCAGTCATCCGGATGAGGGTACGTTGGATGTGGTAGAATCCTACCGAGCGGTCCCGCCACGTCGCCGTCAGGGCAAACAAAGCCATCGTCGAGGACGTCTCTCTTTGCGTGTTCGCAGAGCCTGGTGGCATCGGCTGGCCAAACGCAGCTGGACACCTTGTCTTCGTAGATCAGACCAGGTGGACAGGGCATTATTTGACCTACACCGTCGATGCAGTTGACGAAACGATCGCAAGCGTTCGGGTCCTCGTGTTTGAAGTATCCATTAGCTCGTGGACATCCTTTGCTCGGCTGGGGTTCCTCTGAACAGTCAATTTAAAAAGAAAACAGTTCTCCACGTGACTCGATGTATGCACCTTTGACTCAGTCTTTACTTTAGCCTGATACGTATTTTCAAAGATGCAGAAAAAAGATACAGAAAAGAAACAGGAAACAGTTCTCCGCGAGACTCGATGAATGCACCATTGACTCAGGCTTCACTTTAGCCTGATACGTATTTTCAAAGATGCAGAAAAAAGCAACGGAAAACAGTTCTCCGCGAGACTCGATGAATGCACCTTTGACTCAGTCTTTACTTTAGCCTGATACGTATTTTCAAAGATGCAGAAAAAATCAACAGAAAACAATTCTCCGCGAGACTCGATGAATGCACCTTTGACTCAGGCTTTCTTCTAGTCTGATACGTATTTTCAAAGATGCAGAAAAAAGATACAGAAAAGAAACAGGAAACAGTTCTCTGCGAGACTCGATGAATGCACCTTTGACTCAGGCTTTCTTCTAGCCTGATACGTATTTTCAAAGATGCAGAAAAAAGCAACAGAAAACAGTTCTCCACGAGACTCGATGTATGCACCTTTGTTTTAAGCTTTCCTTTAGCCTGGTACGTACTTTTAAAAATGTAGATAAAGAATTCAGACTTCAATAAAAGTATGTCTTATTTTCTAAACGGTATAACATGTATATTATGGTTAATATTTTATATATGCATTTGTGCACGTTCTTATACATTTTCGGATGATTTGTTATAATTACGTAAATGTCCTCAGTTCACCTGTCAGATAATATGTTAATCAACCAAGTATAATAATTGGACATAAGAGCAAAAGCAAAGAGGTATGGCTTCAGTTAACCATGAAGGTGGTTTTCGTGCTCTAAGATCCTATCGACAAAATACAAGTTAGCATTCCATGTATCTTATTTATGTTTAAAAAGTTTCTATAATACTTTCCCTAAAGAAATTTCTTTTATATAAACATCAACATTCCTTCAGGTACCCTGTATTAGCACCAGTTTGCCTAATGAACCCACTGATAAGAACACAGGCCTTTCGTCGTTTCTTTCGTTCGAATACGTGGGTCCGTGGAAATAAGCCTCTGCGCGCAGATTTATTCATATGGCAAAAAATAGCCAGGGAGGCGAAAGTAAAAAAGGGAACAAAAATTGAAGCGAGCTTGGAAACGATTTTAGCCAAGAATGCAAGGAGGAACCGGTTTCGCCATAATTTATCGCGTCTTTGGTGACATTGCGAACCCGATCTAATCGTTATCGTATACTCGAAACCCAGACGAAGCTCCGGCGTCATATGGAACCAGAGTTCCATTTTTAGATTGGAAACCGTTCCTCGAACGTCAGGCGATTCAGACTCCATCCAGAAAATCGGTACGTGCATCGAAGAATCGAAGAGACCGATCATGAACGGAATTCAGCAATCCATGATCAGAAGTTTTCCAAAAAAAATTGTTTGATAGAACACTTTTATTCTCTTGTTCTTTGGTGGGTTCGTAAAAGTTGAGAATTCGATAGTTATCGATTCGATAGTTATTTGAAACAAAAGTCATTTTGCAATACCGTTTCACACGTTGACTATTTTTTAAAACTAATCTTCTTGAAAAACGTGGGTTATCTAAAAATATATAATAGCAAACGTTAATAAATTCACATTGAATTTTAGACAAAAATATAGTCGCATTTACTTAAATTAATTGTATACTAACTTAACCCAATACGTATTTATGCAATAGATTAGTCTATCCAAATACTGTTAAGCATTTTATGTCTATAGTATTGTCTCAAGGTCAGCTGGAATTGGCGAAATAGAGTAGTATTAATTGGTTTATGTTAGTATGTCGTTAGTTTACCTAGATGCAACCACGACTTTGGCTAAAATTCGATATGAAATTATTAACGTGTTATGGTTATACTGTTTTAGATGAATTATGTTTTTGAAGAGTATCTAAATAATAAACAATATAAATGTAACAACGTGTGAGACGAGATTGTAAAATTCCTATTGCGAAAAAGGAAAGTTTACAGGAAACATAAATAAGAAAGAAAGAAATGAGAAGAAGAATTTGAGAAATAAAAGTCTTTAGATGTTCTAGATCGTTGTAGGTGATGCACAGAATTTTGTTTAAATAATTTCGAACGAAATCGATAGGTTGAATCCAAAGAAGATTATTGACAGGCACTTTCTTAAAAGACAAATTTAGTGCTAGACTCGTGAAAACTTTTACAAGACTAAAACTTTGTTTCGATATAATTGAAAACTACATATTTTACATTTACAATAATTAAACTGCGGGTTTGATGCATTTACAATGCAAACGAATATGGCAATTATATGCTGAACATAACGAAAAGGTATTTACACTTAGATAGAAAACCACTATACGTCATATAATGCTTAAAATCCACAGCCTAGTTTAAAAAGTTTCAAAATTTCAAAATTATACGAATCCTCTCCAAATTTATTTTCTTCGACACCTCACTTACAAAATTAATTTGTTTAGTTCCTTAGTGAAAAGCCCTGTCACTTGTATATTAGTGACGTGATGGTTAACGCGTGAATAGCGTTCCTGTCGTGTAAACGCACTTTAATGGGCAAAAAGACTGATTTCTCTCATAACGTGGGCATCACTTATGGTTAATCTTTATTACTCTGCACAGCACTTCGTATTGCTCGTTGGGAATGCGGTTCACGTCGGCGTTCGGAATTTCTCGAAAATAAAAGATAGTGTGACCAGAATATTCCTACGTGCGCGAATCGGTACACGTCACTTTCACCTTTGGTTTCTCATAAGTACGCTCTTGGAATGGTCCATGTATCGCGTGATCGTTTTGCCATTATATTTCGCATTTCGATTCGATTCCTACTAAAGGAAATTCGTTTTTATTAGGTGGAGAAATTAAGTTTAAGTAAAAATGAAAATTCTAGGTTCTCAATCTAGGTACTCTGATAAGACTCAACTTGATGATCATTATAATAGATCGATATGTACCAACAATGCTCATTGTTATTCTTTTAACAGATTACAAGTGAACATTTAATTATTCGTGACTGTAAGTTTGAATAGAAATATTTCTTTACCATTCTGTTACGTTAAAGTACCAGCCTTAAGTTGGATAATTTTTCTTTTTAAATAAATGATAAATTTACCTTAGAAAGGCGCAGAATTAATTCCTACACCTAATATAATTCACGACATTTGGATAGAAACATTCTAATGAATGAAATACATTATATACTACGCTTGAACCATCGTCCTTTTCAATTCTAGTAAATTGAGTCTCTATAAACGGTTCGAAAAACTAAATGTTGTACAGTTTTTCTTTTTAAATGAATAATAACCTTAATTTACCTTAGAAAGGCGCAGAATTTTTTTTCTAGAACTAATAAAACGTCACATTATGTTGTTCAAAGAAAAAAGTTAGTTAACGATTCCACGCCACATGCAACCATTGTAAATTAATTTTTGTTACTATAATAATAATAGATTATTTCAACTTCTTTTATACTACACGCTTAAAAACGACCTTCTGGAGATAAAAAACGTTTATGCTCTAATTGTTGTACTCGTTTATGCTCTCTGGTTATTTGAATAGTCAATGAATAAATTTATTTTCTGCTTTGGGAGATCTCCTCATTATAGAATAATTTACATTTCACGCGAACAAGTCTTGGCCCATTTACTTTAAATGATGTCTTTTATAACTGGCAAGCCTGCGTTGAAGCAGTAGATTAACCATGCCTCTGGCAAGACTTTTAACAGTCCAATTTATTTTTCATTGCGTTTCAGAAATTTTAATGTAAACGATTTCAATACCTAGCCTTCTCATATTGAATAATAACGATCACGATAAAACTATTCATTCTGTTACAGAATTAAAACAAGCATATGTACACAATGATAAAGTATTTTTCAAAAAAGTTTATCGCTACGTACATACATTTTTTTGTATATTATAACAAACATGCCTCTAATATGATATTATTATTATTATTATTATTATTATTATTATTATTATTTAATTCGAAATGTTTATCAAGCAATTTATCTTCTACATTTTCATTTTATTTTAAATCTGATAACTTTTATGTAATTTTAGCTTTCTATTTGGAACATATGTTATTAACGGTATTTCTGCAAGTTGTTTAAATATATCTATATCCCGTTTCTTCTGGAATAATAAATTGTCAGATTACTAATCGAAGGATCGAAATATTTGAACTACGTCTTTGTTTAACTAAAAATCATAGTTCAATCCGAATTTTTCAAATATTATTCTATTGATATTTTATAAGTAAGAAAAATGAATTCAAGATGAAGTGAGAAACGTGCGTGTTAGAAAGTGAATGAACTAATATCTAACGCTGTTGTTGCGCAACTATTACCAAAGAATCGGATAACACGCGTGTTTCCTTCAAATGAATTGTCTATTACTGAATCGCTCTCGGCTCGTAGATGATTTATGGCCAGTACAAATGATCGTACGTATTACGTTCATTTCGGATGAACGCGAACATAATGTAACGTGTTCGTTTACATAATGAATATTTCGGTCGTGTATACATAACGCCTTAAATACTTTTCTCGTTAAGAAAGCGAATGTGGTTGCGATTATAATCGATACGTCCATTATATTCGGATCATTAAAAACAGAGTAGATTATCAACTCAATTTTATGGTTCATCTTGTCTATGCACTAATTTTCTTCCGGGCTTTTAGGTCTGACAAAGAAATATTTACATACAAATTGTATCGAAGAAGGCCTAAACGATAGCTTTATTCATTTGGAAAATTGTATATTCAATTAAAATCATGTAAACTGAAAGATCAATGTTTACAAAAGAGGTACAAGACCAGAGAGGAGTAAAATTCTTACCTAGATACAAATATCAAATATTGAATAAAAGATAAAGAATATTGAGTGTCTCGACTATTCAATAAAACTTAATCTTTGGGTCACGAACGTTGTACCTGTCTTAATGTTGAAATAGAGACGAACAGAATTTTATTCGAATAATAAATAATGAAGCAAACCATCCACATTAATCATGACGCTTACTCGACCAAACAAATAAACTATTTCTTCATTAATGGTTTAATAAAATTTGATAGATACTTCGTTAGTGTGCAAGGTATTCGAATATTCAAGTATTCGAATAATCAGATTGTTTAACAATTCAAAATATATTCAATTAATACATACATGAAATTCATGAAATAAAATACTTCGCGATAGAGAAATAGGAATTCAATTCTTTGATCGTGTACACGCCATGAATAAATTGTTATGCGTCGGTTTTATTCGTTACTTATGTATTACTCGAATAAAATTCTGCACGTTTCTGTTTTAATATTGAGACAAATACAACTTTATTCCGTAGCTGAAATTATAATTTTTATTCGACGATTACATACATAATATTCTTTGTCCTTTGTTCGTTGCTCATGATACTTACACAAGCAATCCACTAGTGAAACCATCTCATAACAATTTATTCCTGACATTAATTCGATCAAATAATTAATTTTTTTTTTCATTCATTATAAAACTTTAAGTGTAGAAATTAATTTTGTGCCCTTCTAAAGAAAACATATAACTTTTAATCTTCCTTCAGTCGCATATTCCAAGAGAGTGCATACAGTCGTAAAAATAAAACTGCAAGTAAATATTTCTATTTAAACTAAAATTAGAAATAATCGAATGTAAAGGCACATATTTAATTTCTATATCTAATAATTATTCAAGTCACACTTCTTCGAAATTTGACGACTCCTACACTTTGTATACATAGACGTACAGTATCGAACATTCTCGTACAGCGTAACAAGCATTAGGTTGAGACTTAGATTTGTTATGCATTCAAATCCACTGCAGTAAACATTAACTTCAGGGCCTAAAAAGTCGATACTCTAATCTAACAAAATGACTCGTAAATATTTCTACTTAAACTAAAGTTGCAAACGTACGAATGTAATAGCACAAAATTAATTCTTACACCTAATACATAACACTAAATCTACCGCGACCGGTCAAATGGTCGTTTTCAAACTTTCGTGTGCTGTTCTTATATAAAAATATATAAATTATATACAATTATTTCGCGTACTATTCAATTTAGTCCGGATGAAATATTTTTGCATGCAATTGAAAAAAGTGACCCTAAGGCTAGTCTTTCGATCGATAGAGGTAGAAGTAAGTATAAATGAAATATCGGTAGATTTAGTGTCGATTCTAAATATGTTACCATTGAAAATAATATGTTCAAACTTTGGTTTCTAGACGAGAATTTCGTCAATCTTGGAAGAAACGGAAGTGAACGGAGACTTACGAAGAAGAGTTCGGTCTCCGCATGGGACGTTGGCTGGTAAGTCACAGAACTCCTTCTTCGGGTTGTCGTCCCTGAAGACGAGACCGTCTTTGCACAATTTCTCCTCGGCTTTACCGTTCAGGCAAACGTAATAGAGATCGCATTGTTCTGGGTCAGGGAAGAAGCCCTTCGGTTCCGGGCAACGAAACTGTGCTCTGCTCAAGGTCACCGCACTGATCAACAAGAGGGACAACACGCGAAGGTACATGGTCTTTTCTCTTTCCTTTTCTTTTTCTATTTTTTTGTCTCTTCTATTTTCTTCTCTATTTTCTCTGTTTTTGGTTCGTCGAAATCTTCGTTCCAGAGAGCCAGAGACCCGCGTACACGGTTTTTCTCCTCTTCGTTTCTTCCTCTTCTTCTTTTTCTTCTTCCTCTCGGTCTTCTTCCTCTTTTGGTTCCTCGACAGTACGTAGAAAACGGTGGATATAACGTGAGTGCAGACCTGAAACTGGTCCTGATTCGTTTCTGTCGGCACACCACCACTGCATCCTTCCTTGCATTTCACAACCCCCCCACCTCCCCCCCTTTCGCCAAAACTCCTTTCTCGCTTGCTCTCCTATCCGGCGGTTTTCTTCAACGGGAGTGTCGATACGCTCGCGAGGCCAGACCCGTTTCGGCCTGGCTTTCCGTCCCCGCCTTACGTCCAGACTCTGTTCGCCATTTCTTTTTTTTTATTTTTACAATTTTTCTTTCGCTTCTATTTTTCTTTCTTTCGGTTCGTTTCTGTCGCGTCTACATTATTGATACCGATATTCCTGGTCTGGTAGTTTCTTCCGGGTAGCGCGCAAACGCACCATACCCCACCCCAAAACCGACGTCGACTACCTGTTCGCTCTTATCACCGTTCTAGCCTTTATCGAATCATTTCCTGTTGAAATCGATTCGTTGATCACGACAAGGTGTACCCCAGCAGGCAACAGTTGTCGAACGAGCGACTGTTTTGAGTTCATTAATTATTTCTATTTCTTCTTATGTGTGGTTAATTCGTTTTACAAATACTCGACTCGTGCTTGGTCTCGAATAAAACGACGAGTGAAAATTTGATTCGAGTAAGTCTCGACCACGCTTGTGGGTTCTTTTAAAATGTAAACGTAATTTGAAAGGTAGATTTCCTAAATGAGAATATGTCGGGAAGGGCTTACAAGATAAAGAAATTTATTGTTTATACGTGTTTCTTTAAAAGAGATGAATATGGTGTTATGTGTGTATAATGGAAATTTATTTTACTTATAAGGGGGTATACTGAATTAGGAGTTCTAAAAAAAAGCGATTTTTGGTGAATTTTTTTAGGATGGAAAAAAATGATTAATTCTATCGAACTTTTTATCCTATTTTCATACATATTTGAGTAGTCTGTACACATTTTTTCAACAAGTAATATTCAAATTGAGTCGACTGTGACGCACCTCACAATTAAAACCTTCTATCGGCGGGAAAGATACAGGTCGTAATTTTCGTTTGACACAAAAGAACCAAAAGAAATGTTCTTTTCATACATTTTTCTTCTATATGAACTAAGAACAACCCGCAAAAATGGTGAAACGTGAAATTACTGCAAGTTTGAAAAAAAGAACGAGTCCTTTGGGTGAAAAAAATCACTTTAACTTGACAAAAAAGTTCTTTAAAATTTTTTTGTATGAATTTTCTTAGTTCACATAGATGAAAAATGTATGAAAATGAAAATTTCTTTTGGTGTTTTGTGTCAAACGAAAATTACGACCTGCATCTTTCCCGCCGATAGAAGGTTTTAATTATGAGGTGCTCTACAAATATGCGTCACAGTCGACTCAATTAGAATATTTCTTGTTGAAAAAATTTGTACAGACTACTCAAATATGTATGAAAATAGGATAAAAATTTCGATAGAATTAATTTTTTTTTCCATCTTAAAAAAATTCACAAAAAATCGTTTTTTTTAAACCTTATAATTCAGGATACCCCCTTCATGAAAGCGTCGCGTGACCCAATCAAATCAAAATTTTATATGAAATCGAATCAACGATAGAATAATGCAGAAATGGAGATTGCTGAAAAAATCATCTTTTTCCATCATTTACGTTCAAAAATTAATTAAGAGTAACTCCGTCTACAACGGAAGACACCAACAAGAGTGGAACAATCTTTTATAGAAGGTAAAATGGCAAGGTAAAGTGGGTTCTTATGTTATGAACGATACCGTATAGTATTTTATTAATAATATCGTATTGTATTCACTTTTTATTTACTTTTGATCCCCGTATTAAAGATTTCTTTTCTATACGTCAACGTTACAGCATGCGTGCCTAAGAAACATTTTTATGAAGCCTAAAAATTACTCAAAAAACGTTTTCGTTGAATTACAAAAATTAATTAACAAATGTCGCATGTTTCTTTCGTGAAACAACAACGGCTCCTTTTTCTTGGACAACTCTTGATCAAAAATTCAATTGAAGTTTAACTTTTTATTTACTTATAATCATACTAAAGCGTGTTTAACTACATATAATCATATTTAATACAATTATAGTATATTTAATTATATATAATTAAATGTATTATAATTATAATATATTTATACTTATATTTATATTTAGTGAAGAGCAATCGTAACTGTTGACATAAGCTGTTTTCCATACGGCTTGAATTCAACATAGTAAGCAAAACAAAAATAGGATTCGCATCGTTTCGTCAATCGACAAATATTATTTTGTCATTCGAAGGCAATCGTTACGGTTTCACGCGCGTTTGTGAAATTATATTTGCGCAACGCTTCGAAAGTGTCCGTGAATGTTAATATGGTTACTTCTGTGCACACGTTCACTTCCGGGTGGTTTGAATACGTGTATCGCTTACGACCGTAGGCAGTTCGTTTCTCATCAATGAATTACTTCGGCGTTTGTTGGCATTCCGTACGAATCCCTGTACACCGACAGGCGAAACAGAAAGATCTAGACGATCCTTCCAAGCGATACGATGGGTACCTTTCTGTTGTTGATGAATTATGCAGCGGAACGTACATAAGGATACAAGATGTTTCAAAAGTGATTGCCAACTTGATTTCCTAGAGAAAAAGATGGTAAATAAACTAAATATATTAGATCTACTGAAAAGTTCTGTCCGTTTCGGTTACAAGTTTTAAGTCTACGCATATTCATTAAAAATGATATACAAATTGCAATCACGCTGGCAAGATGTCATAAATAATGATAAAAATTAAGCTATTCAATAAAATTTGTTCAAGGTATGACAAATTTATTATTTTGTTTTACTCTAAAAACGAAAAGAACTTTCCGGTAGACCTAATATATGGCACCTTTGTAATATGTACATATACATACTACAAAGAGAGAGAGAGAGAGAGAGAGAGAGAGAGAGAGAGAGAGAGAGAGAGAACATACTTTGTACTCGAGCGAATGATTAACCCAAGGCTAGTAACTACATATTATAATTTCAGAACTTTGCAAGAACAGAACTATCGTGTTACATGAACGGAAGAATTCTTTATCATATACAATATTTTATAGTAAAAGTGATACTTGAGACATAAAGTCTACAGATGGGACACAATACGATATCCAATGCGATGACAGCGTAATATTGAAGGGACCCGTCTATCTTGTAGTATTTAATGTCAAAGGTCGGCATTTTGAATACCTCTTACGTTGGGATATAAGAACCAATCTACTGTTAAAGGTCACAGTACTCGTCCTCGATAATACTGGTCGTATCAAAGTAAGTATTACAAAAATTAATACTGACCGTAAAATAATGACTGACAGAAAATGTTTTATGTACATTTATCAAGAATTGTAGATATCAAATAATGTTATAGATGATTGATATCCTTCTAACACTTCGCAACATGTACTAACACATCCTCATAATTCCTAACACTACCTGCTACCTCCTAACACCTTCTAACATCTCCTAACAACTCCTCAAACATACTGACACTTCCTAACACCATCTAACACCTCCTAACACTTCCTTACACCTCCTGACACTTCCTAACAGTTTCTTACAACTCTGGACACCTCCTAACACCTACTAACATCTCCTGACAACTGCTAACACCGCCTATCACGACCTGAGATTTCCTTATAATCTCCCATCATGTCTTCGCGCATTTCCCATTAATTTACCGCATAATTACCCATTACTTTCTCGTTCAACATGTTCTCATAATACAAAAGGTAAGTTTCGAAATAGAAATAAAAGTTATACCACTTCCACGCTCATCATGTTCTCCTAGTCCAAAAGGTAAGTTTCGAGTCAGCATTACAAGCTATGCCACCTCTTAACTCATCATGTTCCCCTGATCCCAAAGAGAAAAATCGAGGAACAGTTAAATACGTATAAGAAGTAAATGATGCCACTTCCTAGCGTATCATGTTCTCCTGATACCGAAATGTAAAATAAAACCAGCATTCGATACGTACCAATGATTTCTCGTGCCACCTCTTCATATATCATGTTCTCCTGATACCATGAGCAAAATTCGAGCCAGAATTTCATACATACCAAAAATTCCTCGTGCCACCTTCTCGCATGTCATGTGCTCCTGATACCAAAATGCAAAATCGGCCAGAATCTCGCAATGTACGGAAAAGTAGCCCCTTGGTTTAGGCAACCTATGCTTACAGGTAAGTTGGGTCGGTTGCCTGCTCCCAGGCGCAAACGTGACACCCCTTCGCATATCATATGCTCCTAATACCAGAAGTAAAAATCCGACACTTCCCATCACAATTTTGGGAGGAGCGATATGCAACATTGTTGAAGTTGGGAGAGAAGCGATTTGCAACATTGTTCAGTTTGCAACATTGTTAGAGTTTGGAGCAGAGCTATTAGCAACATTGTTGTGTTTTGCAACATTGTTGAAGTTGGGAGAAGAGCGATTTGCAACATTGTTGGCTTTGCAAAATCGGCCAGAATCTCGCAATGTACGGAAAAGTAACCCCTTGGATTAGGCAACCTATGCTTACAGGTAAGTCAGGCCGGTTGCTTGCCCGTAGGCGCAAACGTGCCACCTCCTCGCATATCATGTGTTCCT